AGGTAGAGTAGGGTAGCTTAGCGTGAATGCTCAGCCAGGGATTCTCCAATACCAGAGGTGCTGGTACACTCCTGGTACGGTTTCTTATTTAATTACACTACCATGTTAAGGGGGAGTGGGGTTAGGCCTGCGACCACCTGTACTTACAAGGCTAAGTAAACTTGTACTTCACGCCGGTTATCTGCAAGGTAGTGGTCGACCCATTCATTACATTCATTCTTACCAGGTCGTCACTCCATCCAGTCTGGCCCACCCGTGCGACAACTGCCGTGTGGCTCTTCCACTGTTATGTTGTCTGCCTATATTATTAGTTTAGTTTAAATAGGGCCCTAATTTCATTTTTGCCCCGGGGCCCTTGGTTACATAGCTACGCCACTGCTTATATTTCATAGTACACGATCTAGATGGTAAGATAGGACTCCTCTTTGGCCTAACAATCCGCTGGGTAAATATCGCCCTTTTATTTCAGCCACCAATTTGCTGTCCCGGACTGAAGGGTAAATAGAGCCAGTATAAAACAGGCTAGAAGCATTCCAACAAAGTTCTCAGAGGTGACAACGCATCTGATCTCTGCTTTCCTTATTTATTTTTTAATTTGCTGCGGGTATCAATGGACTGCATTAGTCACTTACCATTAGGTAAACTGTAACTGAACACATCCCTGACACAAAAACCCCAAAAAGAGTGTATACAAAAGAACGGGGGGGCTTACTTTTTTTTACTATCATTAATTCAGAGGATGACTCGATGATATAATAATTCAGAGGATGCTTTGGTTATATTTTGCGATCTTTCTAAGCTTTCGACTGTGTTCACCATAACACAAACAGCGCTTTAATTTATTACATCATATTTAAATAAAAGAACACTAACAGTTCTGATTAATGAAAGTAGTTCTTTCGGATCGGTAGTATCTATGGGTGTTCCTCAGGGCTCAATTCTTGGCCCCTTCCTGTTCTTCGTTTATACTAATTGACTTACCTTACTTGGTAGGGAATAACTATGATATAGTTTTAGTTGTAGTACACTGGCTTAAAGTCAATATTTACAGGTTCTAATCGTAATAAAACAAAATTCATTAAATATAGGACACCAAACAGTTTTTAACAGTGGTAGAACCACGCGGCAGCTTTTGCTGACGCACGGATGGGCCGGCTAGAACCTGGGTGGTACCACGACCACACAGAATACCAGCGTGAAGTAGAGGTTTACCTCTGCGTTTCGCTTGGTGAGTGCAGGTGGCCGGAGGCCCTTTTTACTGGAAATGAGGCATTCCATCTTGGTCCTCACGGGTGACAACGCATCTGCATTTTGATTCGCAAACGAGGATAGATGTAGATGTCTATGGGCCGCAGCAACCACTTACCATCAGGTGGACTGTGTGCTCGTTTGTCACCCTTATCCTATAAAAAAAATGTTAAACAGGTGAACACCAGTGCGCTTTTAAAGCGTTCAGACTTTCAATAAGATTTTTTGTAATCTATGTTGAATAAAAATGATTCTATTCTATTCTAGACAGCATTCGTTACAGCCTATCAAAAGGCCACAGCTGAAGATAGGCTTTTAACATAAACTTCTATATAGGGGGATATTTGCTATAGTTTCCATGTCAAGGTTTTCGATCACAGTATGTTTTTTTTTTTGAGTTGTTATTAGAAAGATGTTGTTTCAGTTCTCTCTGTTTTCCATTCCAACTGTAAACTTCCAAAACAATAAAAGCGGTCTTGAACCACCTGCATCCATCGACTTCCTGCATTTCTTACCAGATCTTCACCACACCCATTGGTGGCCGCCCTACACTTCCTGAGGCTTTCACTCGAGAATTTTTCTTCCCCATCAAATTTTCTATTATTTTGTATCGTTTATAACACCGTACTCAAATTAATCTTTTGGACGATAAGCTCTAATAAAGAAGAAATATTTTATGCGTTTTCAACTGTCTGCACAAATAGGTATGTTTACATACCTATTTGTGCAGACAGTTGAAAACAGACAGTTGAATGTATGCAGACATGTTGATATATAATAATGAATAATAACTACTGTCTTAAAATCATATATTTATATAATTTATACAAGATTATTAATGCATGTGTTAATAAGGAACACTGGATGATGGCATATTTATGTAAAATAGTACATTGCAATTCCATGAATTTCAATGTTGATAATAAGAATAAGATATGAGTTATATAAAAAGGTGTCATCTAAGACTTTGGTGATTCATTTTTTAACTGTTTTGAATTTATGAGATGAAAATTGAGCAAAATATTGATTGATCGTTCATATTCATCCTATTCTAAATCTATACAAGGTAAATTAACTCTGTGCAAATCATTATTACTTTTAAATACATTCTCATAAATTATATATATATATATATATATATATATATATATATATATATATATATATATGTAAGTGTCCATATATATATATATATATATATATATATATATATATATGGACACTTTTTGCTGGTAACGAGGCATGCTATGTTAGTCCCCAGGCATGATAACGCATCTACATATTGGATTCCCAATCGAGAATAGATGTAGATATCTATCGAGTACTATCAGGTAGAATTGTACTCGTTGTCACCATTATTCTGTAAAATCAAATATAGAGACATGACTAACTATTTTTAAAATATATTTCTTTATTTCTAACTTTGTCAGAAACCTTAGCGAATGCGCTTTAAAGTCTGTAAATCAGCTTGGCAAACATAGGTATAACAATGGAACGTAACTGCGTAGTGGCAGTGCCCCATATCGTTCCGAGCACAGATCATAGAAACAACTATTGTTTCTATGATCTGTGGTTCCGAGAGTGACTTTAGAGATGACAGAGGGAAAATGAAACAGGAGCAGCATCATGGGCAGTAGCATCTTCCCGATAACAACTAAAAATAATAAATAACTACGGTTTTCAGCCCGCTTGCCAAGTATGCAACTATGGCAAAATCTTCCCATGAGGCAATCTATGAATGGGATCTATGTTTAGCAATGGATTATAAGTGTAAGGCAGAATATATGGTGTATATCCCTCTAAATGCCAATATCACCAGCAAGCGGCGCACTTTGGTAAATAACGATCAAGCATGAAGCCGACTGATGAAGGAATTATATCTAACAGCAGAAACAGGAACAGATTTTTTTTATTCAATATGGATTATCAATAATACTAATTAAGTCACTCTTTTGTTTAACTACCACCGGTTCGAAAAAGCTCTGTCCTGGGAAGAACCAGCAAGAAGCCCAACGGGACTTTAAAAAAAATAACAACTTACAATCATGTATGTTATACAATTAAAAAAAATTATATAAAAAAATTAACAACACAAAACAAATTAGAAATAGCTTGGTAGCGATCACCTCATTCCCATGGGTTATTACCATCCATAAATTCCTTAATATTATAATAACCCTTTTAGCATCCAGCATTACTCGTACCATTACCAGGGTACGGGCAATGACCTGATGTCCTGCCACCTGGTGTAGCGTGGTGTAATATGGGTAAATCTTCCAAATGATGCTTCCCAAATTTTTTGTAAAACATTTGACTTAAATAGACTTTTTTTATAGGATAGAGTGACAAACGAGCACACAGTCCACCTGATGGTAAGTGGTTACTGTGACCCATAGACATCTACATCTATCCTCAATAAAGACTCAAGATGCAGATGCGTTGTCATCCGTGAGGACTAAGATGAAATGCCTCTTTGCCAGTAAAAAGGGTCTCCGGTTTTCTACACTCACCATACGAAACACAGCAGCGTAAGCTGCTATTTTACGCTGGTTTTCTGTGAGAACGTGGTCCTTCCCCGGTCGAGCCGACCCATTCCTGCTACAACTATACTACTAATATAGCTGCTGCATGGCTCTACTCTACTTGATTATGATGATATTGAAATCTACCAAAAGTTTTTTTTTCAAAGAACACCAACACAATTGTACGTGTATAATAGACAGACTTTTACATGGTAGAGCCATGCTGCAGCTATATTAATGGTATAGTTGTAGCACGAATGGATTGGCTCGACCGGGGATGGACCACGCTCTCACAGAATACTAGCGTAAAATAGCAGCTTAACACTGCTGTGTTTCGTATGGTGAGTGTAGAGAACCGGACAACCTTTTTACTGGAAACGAGGCATTCTATCATAGTCCTCACGGGTGACAGCGCATCTGCATTTTGATTCGTCATCGAGGATAGATGTAGATGTATATGGACCACAGGATCCACTTACCATCATATGAACTGTGTGCTCGTTTGTCACCCTCATCCTATAAAAAAGTCACAACAATGTGATGGAATTTTGTAAATCATTTCCCACCCACTTTCAAACGTCTGAATAATCTGATATTTCGCGGTCGTACTAAGAACCGATGGCAACATAATAATTTCATAAAGCTATGACCTACTATTCTTACAAGGATTATCATAGCTCGTGAACGATGCGTGTTGTTTAAACTCATTTTCAAGTTGCTTAAATTCTCATAGACCTTCACCATAGATTGTCTTATAGGGGAAATATTTGCCATAGTTGCTGCCCTTGGCAATCGGGTAAGCAACCGCAGTTTTTGTCGCTATTGGCAAGCGGGTGCTGCCCATCTCCTGATTTGTTTCCCTCTGTCACCTCTTACGACACCTACGGGATGATATGGGATAGTGGATATTTTTACACCGTCACTACACGGGGATTTTATATTTATGTATATTTAATGAGACTTAGACAACTCCTAAAAACTTTATCCTGTCATAAATTTGTTATAAAAAAACAATTAACAAAAAATACACTATTTTACGGGGCTTATTTGATTGTTATTGAATTGTTTATTTCAGAATAACCCTTTAATTAGAATCGTATGCGCGCGCAATATAAACTGTGCGAGCCTCGCCATCATATCAATGTAGCGCGAAACCTCGCACAGACGTTACGCAAATATTTCGCAACGATTTTTCAATATAATATTTGTTTTATTTCTCGAATAAACAAAATGTTAAAACTTACTACCTTGTTTTTGTTGGTTGGATTGCTTTTTGCTGCTGTTCCAGGTAAGAACAACTAAAGTTTATATTACCATATTACTTTAAAGTGGTCCCCATGTTTACTATATTAGTTTTGTAAAGACATAAATGAGATTAACCCAGTGTTGGACGATCACCCAACAGAAGCAGTGACCTGTATCTGATGAAACATGCAGGTAGTCAATGGATGCAGGTGGCTGAGTACTGTACTTTGTGGCAATAAATGAGGAAGGCCCTTGTGCAATAGTAGTCTTATAAAGGATGATGGTGATGATGATAAAATACATAAGGCATATTTAAAAAAAATATTATGAATGTTAAATTAATAATACATTACAAAAATATTATTTTCTAATACATATCACTATTATAAATATATATGTAATATCATAAGATATCACTTTAAATATTTGCAACTTCTCTTATATTTGTTTTGCATTTTGTAAATAACTAAAGACAAATATGAATAATTAATAACGGTGTAGCGGCGGTGTAAGAATACCCACTACCCAATAGCGTCCCGTGGGTGTATTAAGAGGCGACAGAGGGAAAACTTAAACAGGAGATGGGCAGCAGCATCCCCCTGAATAAAACACACAACAGAACAGCTGAATAAAAATAAAAACTGCGGTTGCCAACCCACCTTAGAAGCGTGGCAACTATGGCAAAATGTTGCCATAGTTGCCACGAGGCAATCTATGGGGGAGGCCTATCTTCAGCAGTGTACTTTTATATCCTGTAATAGTAATAGATGAATAATTAACATACGTGCCTAAAAACATAAAAAGACAGGGTTTACTTACAGGGTCACTGTATGGCAATATAATACAGCTAACCAACTTAAATTATATATATGAATCGATCTAGTTGTTTTCGTTATTAATATTCCTTATGAATTAATTAAACCTTATCCTCCTTAGTCAATGGTAAGGGGTGACCGGTAGCCATGGACCCAGGCAGGTCATTTTAGCATTTTGTAGATGAAACTCAGATTTCACCTTATTTTTTGAAATAATGTCAATATAAATATCAAAAAAATATCTAATAATTAGCAATTACTTAACACTTTATTAAAACAATTACTCGTACTTATCAAGGGTAGAGATTAATAAAAAAAATACATTATGGTATTCTATTCATATCAATCTACAAGGACTATTAAAGACTTTAATGGAGTTTATGATTTAAATTACTTTATTATATTAACTAAGAGGAGGTGGGGGACTCGGCATTTAGGGCTCTAGCAGGCTAGCAGCCCATGCTTCGCCACTGCTTTTAGGTACATGATATGAATAAAATTCATTATGAAAATGCCCTATATTGAACCAACAACAAACCCTGCCATGGACGTTTTTTACAAAAATAATGTAATTAGACTGCTATATTTTAACGCAGGATGTTCCGATAAGACTTATCTACGCGGATTAAATACCACAACGTGACGAATACCTTATTCAAAACATTTTCAGCGTACAATGTAATGTGGCATTTCTTCTTACGTATTTTATATAATGCTGTTATAAAAAAAATCTTTCATTCTAATGTTGTACTCAATAAAACACGAGCATCTACGAAAATATATTTAAACTTCGATATATGTGAGTATGTACTACGCACTAGATTTCGAATTCCGAACATTGACTATGTTCAACTGAACTGTACTGCAATCCATACACTAAACTAAATATTGCGTAAATTGAAGATTTGTGAATTCCATAAGATAATTGTTATTACATATTTATTAGAAATATGCTTTTTTTAGCTTAAAATAAAAGTATTTTATATTAAATTCTTATATTACTTTTATATTAATATTTTTTTTAGGATAGGGTGACAAACGAGCACAGTCCACCTGATGGTAAGTGGTTGCTGTGGCCCATAGACATCTACATTTATCCTCGTTTGCGAATCAAAATGCAGATGCGTTGTCACCCGTGAGGGCTAAGATGAAATGCCTCTTTTCCAGTAAAAAGGGTCTCCCGTTCTCTACACTCACCATACGAAACACAGCAGCATTAAACTGCTATTTTACGTTGGTATTCTGTGAGAGCGTGGTCCTTCCCCGGTCGAGCCGACGCATACGTGTTACAACTATACTATTGATATAGCTGCAGCATGGCTCTACCACGTGTAATGATGAATGTCTTATTTTATATTCATTTAAAGCCTTCGCGCATGCACGACTCTATTATCTCCCGCGCATGCGCGAAGACATAGAGTAGCGCACAATTTTTGTTTGGAATAGCTTCTCTAGTACGTAGTACATATAACTCAATGTATTTAAAGCATATATTTGCAGGCGAGTATTAATTAAATTCCCATTATTGTTATACTGAATCGTTAGTCTAGTCGTCCTTATCGCAACTGCTGATCACGAGGTTCCGGGTTCATATCGGGCCAAAATCAGTAATTTCATTCAAAACAGAATTTCTATCAAAAAATTTTCAGTAACAGCCTGAAGTTAGAAAGTCCTGCGCCTGGTCTTTCTCCAGTCTTGTCGGATTGCCTATAGAAAGTGCACCTGTACTGTGATATACTACTGAATAACGAGATATATCCATCCATTATCTAATATATAAAAATTCATATTTTTGTTTGTTCGTAATTTATGTGCTGCCATACCGTTAATTAGATTGCGCTAAAACTTTGTGAACTTATATATAGAGGTTAATGTTATTGGCATAGTAAAATTAACTTAGGTAGCGCGTGAATCCTACCGACGATTTTATTTGTAAGTCATATATCATTCAATTTCAATGAATGTATTAACATTCCTAATTACTTAAACAATATAACTCTTCCAAATTTAAAACGATATTTCCATAATTATTTCTTCTGCGGCAGCAGTACCAGCTAGAAGGTACGGTGTACGGTTTTAACGGTGGTAGAGCCACGCAGCAGCTTTTGCTGTTGCACGTATGGGCCGGCTCGAGCCGGCGTGAAGTGTAAGCTCTGCTTCCGCGTTTCGTCTGGTGAGTGCAGGTGACCGGAGGTCCAATCCCCCCCCCCCATCAACATGGTTCCGGAATTACACGAAAGACTACCCCAGAAGGGTACTAGCACCCCTGGAGAGTCCCTCGCTGAGCATCCACGACCATGTTCTTCCACTCCTGCCCCGCGTATTCTGGGGGGAGGGGGGGAGGGGGGGGGCAAAATTCCGCTCAACACAATAACTGCTCGGGGCAAACTGAGCAACAAGACTAAGGCGACCCCTGCCACGCTATCCGTGAATTTCTGCAACATCAGGGGACTTCACTAGAACCTATACGCCGTCCACTACCATCTCGAGACGGCGAAGCCGGCCTTGCTCTTTCTGACCGAGACGCAGGTGTCGTCTCTGGCTGATACTTCGTATCTCTCCTACCCGGGGTACAAATTGGAGCACTCCTTTGTGCCTCGGGCTGGAGGCACAAAGGCTGCGTATACGTCAGAGAGGACATCTGTTCTCGAGACCTCGGCAGTCTTGAAGGTTCGGACCTGTCCATCCTTTGGTTACGCGTAGACAGCGACAACCATCCGCGCGTCTACGGGTGCCTCTATAGGTCCCATAGCGGTAATGCTGAAACAGACCGACTCATTGACCACGTCCAAATGGCTACAGATTCCTTGCTACAACAGGTCCCATCCGCAGAGATCTTGATCCTTGGCGATTTTAACGCCCACCACGCCGAATGGCTCGGTTCACGTTTAACCGATCATGCGGGGAGATCTGTTTATGACTTTGCCTTGGCATATGGTCTGACACAACTGATTTCTTCACCTACGCGGATTCCAGTTGTGGAGGATCATACACCTTCCCTGTTGGACCTTCTGCTGACCTCTCATCTGGACGGATATCAGGTTTCCGTCGATGCCCCTCTCGGCTCTTCGGACCATTTTCTGACACGGAGTATGCTACTCACGCTCCTCTCGCGGTTGCGTTCTGCAGGTTGCCGCCGTGTTTACAGGTCAGCGGATTCGGACGGAATGCGGTCTTTCTTTGCTTCCTACCCATTTGGTTTGCTTCTCGCCGAATGATCCCAGCGCTGTTGCTGACTCTGTCACTGATGTGGTGCTACAGGGAATGGAACTATTTATTCCATCCTCTGTGGTACCCATCTGAAGCAGATTTCAGCCTTGGTTTGGTCGCTCCTGTAAGACTGCATTACGCAGTAATCAGGAGTGTTATCTTGCCTGGGCTGCGGCTTCGGCGACTCGGGATGTAAACACCAGCAAACATAAAAAGAAGTATAACTTCGCCTCCAGATCCTTCAAAAGAGTTATTGCCAAGGCAAAGTCAGAGCACATAGGCAGAATTGGCGAGAAGCTAGTTCGCCTTCCTTCGGGAACACGTGCATTCTGGTCTCTCGCCAAGGCTGTCCAACGGAATTTCTGTAAGCCATCACTACCATCTCTGCAAATGGAGGACGACTCACTGGCCCACGACGCAAAAGAGAAAGCCGACCTTTTAGGCTCCCTTTTTGTGTCCAACTCGACTGTTGATGACGGGGGGAACACACCGCCGACCATCTCGCGGTGTGAGTGCTATGGAGCTGGCATGGGCCAGATGTGCGGTTCTCACAGCGCTCGGTTCACAGAGCACTCCTCTCCCTGGTCATCCACAACGAGTGGGCCTGACGGAATCCCCCCAATTGTGCTGAGGACGTGTGCTCCGGAGTTGTCACCGGTCCTAACGCGTCTTTTCCGGTACTCCTACTCTCTAGGCGTAGTCCCGAAATCATGGAAGACAGCTTTTGTCCACCCGATCCCTAAAAAAGGCGACCACTCAGACCCGTCCAACTACAGGCCTATCGCCATCACTTATTCCTTATTCTCCAAAATAATGGAATCCGTTATAAACTGCCACCTCATGCGGTACCTTGAGGATCACCAGCTGATTAGTGACCGCCAATACGGTTTTCGTCGGGATCGATCAGCTGGTGATCTTCTGGTCTACTTAACTCATAGATGGGTGGAGGCCGTAGAGTCCAAGGGGGAGGCATTGGCCGTTAGTTTGGACATTGCGAAGGCCTTCGATCGGGTTTCGCACAAAGCGCTTCTTTCGAAGCTCCCTTCCTATGGGCTTCCCGAGAAATTATGCAATTGGATCACCAGCTTTCTTGCAGAACGGAGCATCAAGGTCGTTGTAGACGGTGCATGCTATCTTGAAGTCTTGCAGTTGTATGCTTGGGTTGGGATTTAATTTAATTAATTATGGGATCTCAAGCAGATGGTAGCACCCAGCTATCTTCTCTATTGAAATTAAGATGTTTTTGATTTCAATAGCCTCGCGAATCATCCTTGGAAGGAATCGGTGTTCTTTAGCGAGGGTTTGTAGTCTATCAAATCTAATGTGGTGGTGGCGATCCTGTACACCAGACTGCAGACTTCCCGGAGCGTCGATTCTTCACATCAGCTATGTGTTCTTTAACGCGGGTTTTTATGGATCTTTTAGTTTGTCCTATATAAGAGAGACCACATTCACAATCAACAAGGAATATAAAATAAGTCAATATACCCGATAAAATCCGTAAAAAAAGTTTTATTTAAATGTGTAGTGTTCGCGTAAATATAATAAATCATTATAAAAATAATAATGCTTAAAAACCGCTAAATATCACGGTCAACTGGCGGTTGAGTTCTCTATAATTATTAATTCTGTGTTAAAATGATATAAAATATATTTGAAATGCGAAAATTGAATGCACCACGGCGATCTGCATCAATTTTATTGCGCAGATACTTTTTAACTATGATATACTTCAAAATGTCTTACTGATTTTATCACGGTTACAGGAAGTCCCTCCCAAACCACACCTCCAACCACCCTCCTAAAAATCAGACGAAACATCAAAATACGTATATGAAAATTAGGTTAATACTTGTTTAAAATAACGTTCTACATTTTTCGACAAAAATTACGATTACGATTTTTTTTTAATTTAGCCTTTATTTTATTTTTTTGTAAATGATTTTCTTTCACAGCTACAAGAGATATTTTATAATAATGATAAAATTTCGAATTAATTTGAGATATCAACTTGCATTTAATTTTAACTAATATTATAATAACATTGTTTGAATTTATATAAAAGAAATAATTAAACTTTTAATAAAAAAGATAAATCGATTACAAAACTAAATAAAATTCCATATAATATCTTCATTGAGAGCCAATTACAGGGTGTGAGGCATTCGATATTACTCCTCAGAGGTGATAACGCCTTCTTTGTTTGAAGTTGGTGGCGGGTATCCATCGACTGCAGAATTCATTTACCATAAGATGGGCGTCTTCACCAGGTTTATATTTTAATTTTAATTTTAAACTAACTGGTAACCGCCGCGTTGCTGCCGCAAAAGAAATAATTGTAAAAATATTGTTTTAAAGTTGGAAGAGTTATATGGTTTAATTAGGAATAGTAAAACATTCATTGAAGTTGAATGATATATAATTTTCAAATAAATTCGGTACGATACGCGCGCCACCTACTTATGTAAGTTAATTGTACTATAACCTTCGTGTAAATGCAAACTGTAAGTTGACAAAGATTTTCCGCAATCTGACGAACGGTATGGCAGCGCATAAAATACGAAGAAACAAGAACTATATTTTTATATACTAGATTTAATTATTTACCCCTTTTAGTGAACACCAAGAGCTATCAATGTAATAATTATACAGGCGTCTAAATAGTCAAATAAAAAAATATTTCACATATAAGAGTGGAATTTTTCTTCAAATAAATATTCCATTCACTTTCCATGAGGATAACTTATTTAATTAAAAAATAATCATTTAAATCAATCGTTTAGTTTTCAAGAAATCTGTGTACTTACAAAAAACATTCCATGAATATAAAAGAACCTTCTCGTTTTTGAAGTTTTTTGTCCTACTCCTAACTCAATTTTTTACCCGCGCTACCATGAACTGCAGCAGGGTATACATACATATATATAGTGATACAATTGTAGTTTTTAGAGACGAATACAGGAGACCTGACGGTATGATTTTAAATGATCAATATTTACTTTATTTTACTATTGCAGGTAACTTATACCGAAACTTAGAATTATGCAAAAAAAAACAATTTATAAACAAATGGTTACTTACTAAAGGATTTAATTTTATAAAATTTAAATCCAATCATACCGCATACCGGATACATATAGGATACCACAGCATTTTGGAAAAGTTAACAATTTTAAACATTTAAGGCTATTTCCGACGTTAAAAAACTTTTAGCGCCCTTTTTCCCTTCTCCGCTGCATGCATATTTGTCCAGCACAAAGTAGCCAGCCACCAGCAGCAGACATTCGGAGTGGTCAAAACTTTTTGAAAAAAAAAAGTTACTATATTTTAAATGCTTGTTATTAGAAAATAAAGGATACAAAAAAGTAACCGATTAAGAATCTAAATTAACATGCCTTACATATTATCGAAAAATATTATATGACCAAATAACCGTCACTTACAAAAACGAGAACTCAGAGGTCAAAGTTTTTCCCGTTTGATTGAACAGTAATTAAATTTTTAATTCGACTAAGAATTTAATTGAGTAGTTCATGTATGTACATATCTTTCTGAGCATATACGATTTCAAGAAGCATCAATTCTCGAGCGTCAAAATCGTGTCCAAAATGCAATATATTGTCCAACCTAGGCCTAAATTTCATTGTTAACGTTCCTCATCATTTAAACTTTGAAAATGTTTATAAAATTTTATGTAAACAATATAAGTCTCTGTTTGGTGGATGATAAGTGTGATTAACAAACTTGACTATTGCATTTCTAAAGAATTTACGCGTATTATATTCACATTGAAATCCCGCTTTGATTGAGCACTGTTTATTTTTGTCATCTTTGTAATTAGAAAGAATAAATGAATCTAAGATAATATATTTAAAATATACCTGTATGAGTTACTGGCAAACTCAGGTGCAGTAGGTAAGAGACCTGAAATTACTGAACAAAAGAAATGTACAAGAGTTAATTGTGAATGTGACGTAGCGTGAATAAGGTCCAAACCACTGCAAAATGTATTAAAATATTGTTTGAACAATTAATATTACATTTGTATTTCATTTTAATTCAGTATAAGGTTTTAGCTAGCGTAGTGATTTTTTGTAAGTCCAAAACTTTTTAGGAGTAAATAAGATCATAGTTCCCATACTATCAAAATAATTTTGACAATGACTCTTTTTTTATATTCTACTAAGCCAGCGCTTATCTACGATCCACATGATGGTAAGTGGTGATGTAGCCTAAGATTGTGAAGCGCACTGACTTAACAAAAGCCTATTCACTCTTGCCTTGAAGACACCCACACTGTAATCGGATGGAAAGACAGATGCTGGCAACATATTCCACTCCTTTGCTGTACGCATGATGAAATACTTGGCGAACCGTTTGGTTCGAATGCGTGGTAAGTCAACAACGAAAAGGTGGAGACTGGCCGAACGTCTGGTTGTCCGATGGTGGAAGGGAGAGGGTGGAATTAAATTATGTAATTCCTGCGCACACTCCCCGAAATGCATCCTGTAGAAAACCGAAAGGCTGGCTACTTTACGTCGGTGTTCGAGGCTGGTAAGATTGGTTTTAACCAAATTCGGGTCACCAATAAGCCTCTTAGTACGCCTTTCCATTGAGTCCAAACCTGCTAGGTGGCATTTTGCAGCACCAGCCCATATATGGCAGCAATACTCCATGCACGACCGGACTTGCGCTTTATATAAAGTAAGCAGCTGTCCCGGCGTGAAGTATCGTCGCACCTTTGCAAGGACTCCCAGCTTCCTTGCAGCTGCTTTGGCCTTGGACTCAATGAAGCGCCCAAAGTTCATATTTGAGGATATTTCAAACCCTAACAACTGAAGGCGGTCAGTATATTTCAGTGATATATTTCGGAAAGAAGGAGCCAAGGTGATCTGGCTCCTTTTTGCAGTGAAGAGACATGCTTGTGTTTTGGAGGCGTTGAACTTCACAAGATTGGCATCGCCCCAATCGGAGACTGCCTGTAATGTGAGATTCACACGCTCTACCATTGCTTCTCTTTCGGACTGGATTTGATCCCGACTGGCCCGAGGACTTGGTTGGTATCTCTCAACAACTGTGCTATCGTCTGCATACCCATAGATACCGGGCATAAGCAGATCATTAATATGCAGCAGAAAGAGAGTTGCTCGGCTCGGAGAAAAGCAACTTCTTGACCATGCTCAATTTATTGATGCCCTTACACATGCATATATTTTTCTTCTTTCCATCCATACATCCATTACAGACTATAAAAGTCCACTGGTGTACATAGGCCTCCCCATAGATGGCCTCGTAGGAAGGATTTGCCATAGTTGAAACGCGGGTTGTCAACCGCAGTTTTTTATAATTTTGAGTTCTCATCAGGAAAATTCATGGGCGGCGGTAGTCACTTACCGTCAGGTGAGCCGCATGCTCGTTTGCCCCCTCTCCTATAAAAAAAAATGCTGCTGCCTATCACCTGCTTTATTTCCCTCTGTTGCCTCTTAAGACACACACGGAACGATATAGGGTAGTGGATTTTGGTGTAAGTACACCGCCGCTACTCGGACTTTTCTCTTTCTATTTTTTCTTTAACAATTGACTGTTGGATGCACACATACGCACCTAACGATGCCATTAGAAGCAAATTATTTTAGATGTATATGTGTACGTAAGTGCGTGTTCTTACAATAAATTGAACAAGTTTTGCCTTAGTTTTTATATCACTTGTAATTTTCGAAGCGCTGCGTCCTTCTTTCTTTGTTGGTCTCACCTCGATGTATGTAAAAAAATCCTTGATGATAAAAGATATGTTTTTATTTTAATTGAAAAGGAGCACCATTGCAAGAAAGTGACATCGCAGTGGCTGCAGCCAATGGAGATTGGAGATCGTTTCAAAAATTGTATGTAATCTTAATTTTTGAACACATAATTCGGTACTTGTAACAGTGTATTATAATTTTAAGTGTGCTGCAAATTATTAGTTCGTTGTGAATTTATCCAAGAATCTGGGTGGTGGTTATTTAAACATTATTAAGTTTGGTGGTGGTAACCCATTCTCACTAACTGATATCTTATTGTAAAATTTGAAGATCCTTCTATTTTCATATACGTAAAGAATTTCATTCATATTGTGTTAGTAGTTATAATTTCAATATTTAAATTAAAATTGCAACGAATATTCGGTATTCGGCTTATTCGGCTCCTTTATCCTATTAGGTCGAATACTGAATACTTAAGTGAGAGGTTTTATTGAACTGATATTGGTAACTGGTAATTGGTAAAATGAAAATATTTATTTATTTAATTTTTTTTCTTGTAGATAATCATTTAAGTACTCATAGTCAACTTCCATATTATTTAAAAAAAATTAACCATCGTATAAATGTCAATGCACTCGAATAATCGTAATTAAAGTGCAGAAAGATAAATTTTTTTCATTTTTGTGCAGTAGTTTACTCCTTTTCTTCTCGTAGGCAATCCCAGCTTCAGAGATTAGACGCTCTGAAGAATAAACACTACTTTCTTCCCAACCGAATACTTTTGCCCAATATTCGACTATTCGGCCAGGAAGTCTGCACAATATTCGGTATTGGGCGTGTGGCGAAATATACTGTTCGTTGCAAGTCTAATAAAATGTCCTGGTTGCGACGATGTATAGGGAGCAAAACAGATGTAGTTCGTTTTTTGGATATTTAAATTGAAAAGATTATCTCTCAGTCATTTCGACCCACGAGCTAAGCCCTTTGCAGCCAGATGGTGTACGAAATCACAATTATTGTCAGTGAAGACAATAGCGGTATCATCTGCAAAAGAGAAAATCCTTCCCCCGATGTCCTGTAAGTTCCACAATTCATTGATATAAAATAAAAAGAGAGTCGGGCCAAGGATACTCCCTTGTGGAACACCAACATTAACGGTATATTCGTCACTAATGAATCTATCTATTTTTACGGCTTGGGTTCTGTCACGAAGGTAACTACTGAAAAAAGAGAGCATAATCCCCCTGATTCCAATGTTCTCTAACCTGTCTATAAGAATGGAGATAGAAACGGTGTCAAAAGCCTTTTTAAGGTCTAGGAAGACCGTAAGGCATTTGTATCCTTTATCGACTTCCTTAGCTATAATAGAGATCAAATTTAGAATTGTGTTTTGAGTTGATATTCCTTTACGAAACCCGTATTGAAATTCTGACAAAAAATTGTATTCGTTAAGCTAATTAATCAGCCTTTTATTAAGGAGCTTCTCAATTATTTTTGAAATTGAAGTCAAAACAGAGATTGGCCTATAATTATTGACGTCTGATTTATATCCACTCTTGTAAACAGGGGTTACTATAGATCACTTGAGAGCACTAGGAAAGACTTATTTATATATTATTTATATCCTATATACCTATTTATATACCTATTTAATTTTTCAGAGGTGGACACTTAAAATTTTTATCTCACAGGTAGGTAAAAATGTTAATTTACGTACAGACTATACTAATATCTATTTTATTTATTGGCAGTGGCTATAAGCGTCATTTATTTTATTAATTCAACCAAACAGCGGAATAACATTAAGGAAAAATGTAAAATGTTTACAGGAAACAACAGTTAACCATTCCCTTATATTATATCTTCTACTTTTCACGTTTAGGCCAAGTAGCCCGATACCGCGCGGAACTACCGATCGCGCGGAACTACCGACCGCGCGGTACAAGATCAAAGTAAATGGCGACTATCGTCTACATCACCGCGCGGTCATATGAAATTAGCCTTATTCATTAATTCATTGCAGCCTATCAAATTCGACTGGCCTTATAAGGGGGATATTTACCATAGTCTGTAAATTTCATAGTACGTGAGTAACCAGGGGTGGTACCGCGCCGGCACCAATGAAATTATTAATTGCAATTTTATGTGCTGATTTACCACGTGCCCGGTGGTGAAGGAAAACATCGTGAGGAAACCTGCATGTTTAAGAAATATGAAAAAAAAATTCGAAACCACGTGAAGTTCGCCAACACGCACTGAGGCAGCGCGGTGGATACTTCATTGCCCTAAAACCCTCTCAGAAATGAGAGGAGGCCTGTGCTCAGCAGTGGGACGTATATGTAGGCTGTAATTTTAAGTTTAACATTTAAAGTTTTGCCATAGTTGCCATGTTTGGCAGGCAGTTTTTATAGTTGTTATAAGGAAGACGATGCTGCCCATCCCCTGGTTTGTTTCACTCTGTGGCCTATTACGACAACCACAGGACGAAATGAGGTAGTGGATATTCTTACACCGCCACTACACGGTAAGGTTTCTCGCATTCGCTCTCTGGTTTTTTTTTATACAATAAGGGTGACAAACGGGCACACTGTCTATGATGGTAAGTGGTTGCTGTGGCCCATAGACATCTATATCTGTCTCTCTGTTTGCAAATTAAAATGCAGATGCGTTGTCAGCCGTGAGGACTAAGATAGAATGCCTCTTTTCCAGTAAAATACGTCTCCAGTTTAACTAGTCTAGTTAGGAGTCTATTTCTAATTATCTGATGTTACATAGATGCCGTTTTTCGAGAAGGCTTAATACGCTAATCTAAACGTCAATCTAATTGAGTACAAAATGTGGAACACTGAAATCATTATTAAAGAAATCCTGTCACATCTGCGGCTCGACCGGAGAAGGATCATGCTATCACAAAATACTGGCGTAAAATAAGCAGCTTGACGCTGCGGGGTTTCATATGGGGAAAACCAGATTTTTACTGAAATATGGCAACAAGTATCCATTTATTCAATAAAAAAATATTATGTCAGTCTTTAATAAATATAAAGTCTAAGTGGCTTTTAAATGCGTACAAGAAATGACTAATTTTCTAAAGATCGTAAACCAGTACTCAACATTTTATTTGTAGAAATAGATACTACGGCGTTACCTTAAAAAAAACTAGTGTAATAAACGACGTTTTTAATGTAACAAGTTAACGCAAAAATGCTAATTGAGGGTATTGATAAGTGTTTTATAGCTATTCCAACGTCTATTATTTACAGCCCTGGACTCAAATTTCGAATGGCTCGTCCTCGGTAGGTATCCGGTAATTTTTAACAATATATCATATGGGATATAAAAATATTTTTTACTCGCTTTAATCGCTTAATGTGGACGTATCTATACTAACTTGAGCATCGTGTTATCATCAATACTAACAATATATACGTAGAGTTAACATTCATTTGGTGTTATAAGTGTAAGTTTACTAAATTTCAAGAAACGATCAAGGCAAGTTATAAAATTAGACGTTCTGTGGCTAATTAAATTTATCGTAGCGATTACAGAGCTATAATTCCAACTCGTTTCGTTACACTGTGTTAATTTATGATTTAGCTTATCGCCTTTGCTCAATGTAATTTTTTAGCTTGGGTTATTTTTATATACGTATAGGATAAGTCACACAGTCCACCTGATGGTAAGTGGTTGCTATGGGCCATAGACATCTACATATATCCTCGATGAAGTATCAGAATGCAGATGCGTTGTCACCCGTGAAGACTAAGATGGAATGCCTCGTTCCGAGAGTAAAACGGGTCAATGATATGTATGTAAGAGCGTGAGCCCTCCCCGGTCGAGCCAACCCATTCGGGCTACAACTATATCAGTAATATAGCTGCAGTATGGCTCTACCACGTAAAAAATATATTATTATTATAATTGTTATCAGTACCTTTGCGATGTTATATAAATTTATTTGTTTAGTTTCATCATCATCATCATTATAGCCCTTCACCAGTCCACTGCCGAACATAGGCCTATTTGTTTAATTTAAGTATTCCTAAAAATCCGCACTGTCGGGTGTTGAATGTCTGATTTTGGAACACCTTGAGAACGCAAAATAAAACTGAAATCAAAATATATATGACTGTTAACGATTAGATCCTAAAGACATGTAGTCTGCAAATACGCAATGGAGCAGAAATATAAGAGTATGGTACCGACCCAATCGGACTCGTAGGCAGAATTCAAGGAGCATTACCACCTAGAGAAATCAACTCTTTTTGGAGTCCATTTTAGATTTAGGGGTATTTTTGTTTGTTTCATTTAATTTGATTGGATGTCCTCTATAACTTGTATTAAATATGATCACTTAAAACTATGGATGATATTTTAGTTTATGTGGTTACAAAGGCAATTACATTATTATCAATTCTAAAGCCAGCTGACTCCTCGATTTGTTACTATAGAAATAAACGCGATATACTCTAGTCGCATTTCATCAACCTTTCATAAATTTTCTATAAGTTGGTTCCAGTAAGATTATTTTTTCGTTAAATTATATTTGCTATATTTTTAATTCGTTGTTTTAATTTTACAATATTTAAATATTTATTTTGCAGGTTGAGCCAAGGACTTCATTATGGAGAGAACTTTGAGGTAAGCAAGAACGCACTAAAGAAGCTACCATAGTGCTATTTAACTTAATTATTGACAGCAGTTCCTTTATATATTATGACGTGTCAGAAATATTATCACACGTATTTAGTCTTGGAAAATCTTCCTGTAGTCTGTAAACATTTTCACATTTAACTCTACACACCAACATTTTTTTATAAAACATGGCGTTAGATAATTCATCACTAGATTTCGTACTTTGCTGTCATTAACAGTCACTATGGGAAATGCCAAAATGATCTTTATATCCTCTGGTAAGTGACACTGTAACCGTCCAGTTTAGGTTTGGAGAAGCATTTAAGTAGTGATATGTATAGGACAGCAATTGCAACGCAAAGCTGACAAATCCTCACTGTAATAGCTGTACCATTTTTAATCCATCCCATCAGGCAGGCAGGCAAAGAGTTCACCGAATGGAATTTTATCCATTAAAACCTTCAAATAACCTTAAATAGTAAACGACATATGCGTGGGCAAAAAAGTATATATAAACATATGTGTATGTAGGCATGTATATGTGAGCACTGAACAAGGACAGTTGCGGACTGAAAAAGAACTCGTTAATTATACAGCTATTGCTTGACTTACAAATGCCATTCGTGTTGAAAATTTTGTTTGTATAAGATGTTATTATTAAATACCTTTTATATATTACTATATGATATATATGTTTTGAGATATTAAATTTAAACTTACATTTATTTAACCACTATCTATTTAAATGCACTGCAAAACATAGGAAAACAAAACAACTATTATTTTTATTTTTTATTGTAATATATACATATTATTTTGACAAAAACAAAATTCGTAATGTACTTATATTCTGTAAACATATAGGTAATAAACAGACACAAGTTAGTAGTACTACCAGTTACTCGACTCGGTAATTTCTTCATGGGGAATGCATATTTTCTGGGGCTTTTACAACAAAGCCCCGGAAAATATGCATTGCTATTTAAACTTTCAATGATTTATGTTTAAAAAGTAAATGTATTTAAATTTAGGTCCAAGTTATTATTTTATAATAATGTTCGGCCTACACATTAAAATCGACGTCAATTTAAACAATGCCTAAAATTTTTTGACTTTTTATATTATGACAGTAGAAAAAGATAGGTATTTTAAGAGATAATTAATACGAGTACCTAAGTTTGCAAGCGACAATCAACGGTTATAAAAACAAGGCCGTTTGTCTACTCATTAAGTTTTGATAAGAGTCAGTGTGTATTAATTATATATGTCGAACAGAACATATTTATTAGCTTATCACTTGTATAATAGAGGTAAAAATGCATCACGATCTTCGTAGTGTATGTTATTTTTCTCATAATTATAACAAGAAACTGGGAAATCCTCTACCTTGATAAGGATAATATAAATCGCGCTAAGATATTTTTTATTCATAATAACAAGACTGCTGTAATGAGTTCGTGCACTGAATTAATTGATTTTACATTACCTAAGATTTTTTAATGAAAACTATATAGATATATTAAAATACTAATTTGAAGAGTCGGCTTTTATCATCAATACGCTAAACAAATTCTAGGGACCGTAATCAATTTTCAACGTTTCATCGCGGTTGGAATTTTCGCCCTTAAAACATATTTAAGGGCAAAAATTCCAACCGATATACGTATACAAAGCAGGCACAAGTGATAAAATTAAAATTTCTATAACCGACTTCAATATACATAAAGTGAGAACATCATCAATGTAGTCGAAGTCAATTGAATACGCATTATTAAGAATAACTCAAAAATTACTGGTCAGATCTTGATGAAATTTTTATGTGACCACACCAGAAGCACCACCTTTCAAATAAAAAAAAATTGAAATCAATAGAGGTTAAGTCTGATGAGTGCAGCAGACGGTGCAGTTTCAATCGATGCGTCAATCCCTGTACTCACTGTAATAAGAAAAACACAAAGGGCAATTCTCGCACATTTTAACGTTCCTGTGTAAGAATGAAAAATTCTTGCTTTGATAAACTCGGGCCTGACCACACATAAAGTTCTAAACATAGTTAGCGTAGTTATAATAATCAGCGTTGACGTTTTTAATTCGCGAGTTCTAGAGTGATTTCGTCTTACTTAAACAAAAAGAAGCTGCAATGAACTAGTTAGTGGTCTTTGTAGCTGAATAGTCGAAAAACTCTTTAAATTAAATAGAAAGTAAATAATTAAAATAAAATTTGGAAATCTATTCATTTCACGCAAAACAGGTCTTAACACGTTTTAAGACAATATTTAGTTATTTTACAATATTTCCCTTAACCGATTAGTATATTTTATCAATACTAAAATTTCGCATATACTCTTTTTTTATTGATGAAGGGGCAAACGAGCATGCGGCTCACCTGATGGTAAGTGACTACCGCCGCCCATGAACAACCGCAACACCAGGGGAATCGCAAATGCGTGGCCGACCTTTTAAAAAGGTGTAAGCTCTTTTCTTGAAGGTTCCTAAGTCGTATCGGTTAACAAAATTCGCTGGTGGTAATTGATCCCACAAGGAAGTTGTGCGAGGGAGAAAACTTCTTCTAAATCGCACAGTGGTGGACCGCCAATCATCCAGATGGTATGGATGATAACGCGAGTTTTGTCGCGATGTGCGATGGTGAAATTGAGCGGCTGGAATTAGTCCTAACAATTCCTCAGAGCACTCCCCGTGATAGATGCGATAAAATACGCAAAGAGATGCAAGATCTCTACGCAGTGTCAGTGTAACGAGCCGATCAGAAAGAACTCGGTCGTCGTTCGAACGACTCTGCGCTGGATGCGGTCAAGTGAAAGGAGCTGGCACTGAGGTGCCCCGGCCCAGAGATGAGAACAGTATTCCATATGGGGCCGAACTTGCGCTTTGTAAAGTTGCAAGCGATGTGCCGGCATGAAATACTGTCTCGCTCTGCTGAGCACGCCAAGCTTTTTAGAGGCCAATTTGGCCTTCCCTTCCAAGTGACCACGAAACTGCACACTATTCGATATGTCGACGACAAGGATTCCGATACTAGCTGAGGCAGAAAGCCTTGAAACTGAGGAGATACGACAAAGGGGTTCTTTTTAGCGGTAAACGCGCAAACTTGTGTCTTCTGGGGATTGAACTGGACTAGATTTAGTCGCCCCCAATCCGAGACTTTGTTAAGCAATGACTCGACTTCAGACACAAGTTTGTCCCGGTACTTGGCGACGTTTTCCCGAGAAATATTGGCACGGCCGGTATATAAGGCATCACCAGTGCTGTCGTCCGCATTGCAATGAATGCTACCAGTTAGCAACATATCATTGATATACAGGAGAAACAGCGTTGGTGATAGCACGCAGCCTTGTCGAACACCAGCGTTGATGGGCTTGAAATCAGAGCATACACCGTCTACTACGACCTTGATGCTCCGATCATCAAGGAAACTGGTGATCCATTTGCACAATTTCTCGGGAAGTCCATAGGGAGGAAGCTTCGAAAGAAGCCGCTCAGACCCGATCGAAGGCCTTCGCTATGTCCAAACTAATGGCCAATGCTCTTGGACTCTACTGCCTCCGCCCATCTATGAGTCAGATAGACTAGAAGATCACCAGCTGATCGACCCCGACGAAAACCGTACTGGCGGTCACTAATCAGCTGGTGATCCTCAAGGTACCTCAAGAGCTGGCAGTTTATAATGGATTCCATTATTTTGGAGAACAAGGAGGTGATGGCGATAGACCTGTAGTTGGTAGGGTCTGAGCGGTCGCCTTTTTCTAAGATCGGGTGGACCAAAGCTGTCTTCCATGGATTCGGGACTACGCCTTGGGAGTAGGAGTACCGGAAAAGACTCGTTAAAAACACACAAAAACACGCCAACTCCGGAGCACACATCTTCAGCACAATGGGAGGGACTCCATCGGGCTCACTCGACTTGCTGATGTCCAGGGAGAGGAGTGCTTTGCGAACCAAGCGCTGTGTAAACCGCACATCCGGCATAGAGCACTCACATCGCGGGATGGTCGGCGGTGTGTTCCCCCCGTCATCTAGGGTCGAGTTGGACGCAAAGAGAGAGCTCAACAGATCGGCTTTCTCATTTTCGGCTAGGGCCAGTGAGTCGTCCTCTCTGTGCAGAGATGGAAGAGATGGCTGACAAAAATTCCCTTGGACAACCTTGGCAAGAGACCAGAATGCACGGATTCCCGAAGGAAGGCGAACTAGCTTCTCGCCAATTCTGCCGATATTCTCAGACCTTGCCTTGGCAATGACGCTTTTGAAGGACCTGGAGGCGGGATTATACTTTTTTTAAGTGCGCTGGTGTTTATATCCCCAGACGTTGATGCGTCAGCCCAGGCCCGGTAGCACTCCTGCTTATAGCGTGATGCTATTTTACAGGAGCGGCCAAACCATGGCTGGGATCTGCCTCCGATGGGCACCACAGAGGATGGAATAAAAAGTTCCATACCCTGAAGAACTACATCAGCAACAGAATCGGCAACAACGCTGACCGACTCCCGTTCCAATCAGCTGACCAAATATAGTGCCAAACACGACGGCAAGCTGCAGATCGCAACTGCGATTGGAGCGTGAGTGGCAGACAATGGTCCAAAGAGCCCAGAGGGGCATTGACGGAGACCTGATATCAGCAGTAGGTCCAACAGGGAAGGTACATAGTCTTTCACATCTGGGATCCGCGTAGGCGAAGTAACCATTTATGTTAGACCATATGCCAAAGCAAAGTCATAGACAGATCTACCCGCATAATCGGTTAAACGAGAACCAAGCCATTCAGCGTGGTGGGCGTTAAAATCACCGAGTATCACGATCTCTGCGGATAGGTCATAGGATGGACAGGTCCGTACCTTCAAGACTGCCGAGACGTCGAAAACAGATGTCCTCTCTGACGTATACGCAAATTCCATCCCGGGGCACAAAGGAGTGTTCTAATGCTGGTACCCTCCTGGGGTAGTCTTTTATTTAATTCCACTACCATGTTTTCGGGGGGGGAGGGAGAACTGGGCCTCCAGCCACCTGCACTCATCACGCGCAACGCAGAGGTAAACCTCTACTTGTACAAATTTAGAGTAACAAAAGTCAGTATGTTCAGGTACACACACAACCAACTTTAAACCGAAGCGTAACACCTATGACCTATGATTTAATAGATTTTTATAGAATAAGGAAGACAAGCGAGTACACATTCTACCTCATGATAAGTAGATGTTGAGTCCTATAGACATCTACATCTATCCTCGTTTCAGAATCAAAATGCAGACGCGTTGTCACCCCTGAGGACTACGATGGAACTCCTCGTTAGCAGTAAAAACCGTCTTCGGTTCGCTACACTCACCATACGAAACACAACAGCATCATTCTGCTGTTCACACTATGGTCTATGGTCACTATGGTCCTACTCTCACTAGCTCTCACTATGAGAACTGACCAATTCGTCCCGCAACCATATATCTGCAGCGTGGCTCTATTAAGTAAAAATATGGGGGTGGTACCAATCAACACCGACCTATAATATATAGTAAATTTTTCAAAACTGACATGACATGACACTCTATTGACTATTTGAGAACTAAGTTACCAAACTAAGTGGACAGAGCTGTTTATCTAGTTAAGAGTTCATTTTGTTAGATATTAAACATAATACACCGCAGAGAAACCCCAACACGTAAAATATCTTATATTATACATACACCTGCTACTAGACAGCGGTGCAAGCATTGGCAATTAAGAAGGAATTTAATCTTATTTGTCATGAGTGACAATCCATTAGTAGAGACCACTTACCATCTAATAGGTCCACTACAAGCTTGTCACATGTATTTAAAAAGAGTCCATTGTATTTAATTATCTTTAAATATTTTAATATATTTAACAAATCTTACAGGTAAATAGTTATTCGGATAGAAGAAGGAATAATTTTTATTCATTCGTAACGTTTTTAAATTTTCAGGGTATCAAAAACTTACAACCTCAAGGACCAGGCTCACATGTTTACGGTGAAGGTGAATACAGATACTATACGTCTACAAACATCAACGGACAGAAGAGCGAGCAAAGAGGCGGTCGTAAAATTGTCAACAAAGATGGAATTTTACAGGAGTACGATTTGGATTAAGATAACTTAAATTGGACTTTATCTAATGATGTATTTATCCTTTCACCCTAACATGTTTGATTTTATTTTAATATTCACACAATATTATAGTGATTACATATTTCATCACATTTAACCGTCGCGAATAAATAAAGAATAGACAGAAGAAAATAGACCTGTTTCCTATTATGTATTAAAGTTTAAAAAATATACCTAATTAGTATTTAAACTTATTGTTTTTTTCATTATTTTCAATGCTTTGTTCCATTAGCAAGCGAAGTAAGACGACGAAATTAAATAAAACTGTAGATAAATTTACGATATTCTTTTAATTATGTTACATTGTGTAAATTGTGATGTACATTAAAAGTTGACTTATTATTACAAACAAGTGCAAAACGAACCCTGTTTCAATATAATTTCCGTCATTACGTTGTTTTGATGTAGGTAGGTATATTAAATCTAATTTATAAAAAAAAAATAATCTAAAAACGTACCACCGATTGGCGTCCTCTCGTTATTGAGAGAATTTTTTTATAGAATAAGGGTGACCAACGAGCGCACAGTTCACCTAATGTTGCTGTGGCCCATTAACATTTACATCTATCCCCGATTAAGAATCAACATGCAGTTGCGTTGTCTCCCCTGCCCTGGGGACCAAGACAGAATGCCTCGTTTCCAGTATCCGGTTCCTCCTTCCAGGTCTCCGGTTCTCTACACTCACCATACGAAATACAGCAAGCATTAAACTGCTATTTTACACTGGTTTTCTGTAAGAGCGTTGTCATTACCCGGTCAAGCTGACTCTTTGCAGCCTACGCATGTCAAAAAAATTTAAAATTGAAAAGTGTTTTTTTTTTTAATAGAAATCGGGGGATAAACTAGCACACAACCCACCTGATGATAAGTGGTTTCTGAGGCCCATAGACATCTACATCTCTCCTCGCTTGCGAATCAAAATGCAGATGCGTTGTCACCCGTGAGGACTAAGATGGAATGCCTCTTTTCCAGTAAAAAGGGTCTCCGGTTCTCTACACTCACCATACGAAACACAGCAGCATTAAGCTGCTATTTTACGTTGGTATTCTGTGAGAGTGTGGTCCTTCCCTGGTCGAGTCGACTCATTCGTGCTACAACTATACTACGAGTATAAATATATATATAGCCGCAGCTTGGCTCTACCACGTAAAAAAACATTTACATTTAAAATCTATTCAGTACAATATTGATATTTTATATGACTTTCCCAATTTTGGAGGAATATAATTTTTTTATACAAAATATTTTAACAAAAAAAATACATAAGTATAATAAAAAGTAAGAAATATCTGAGATAGCTTTCGGGTTGCGTTTTATACTTTAGTGCTCTAGTCTAGTCATACTATCTAAGTATTTCGTATGTGATAGAACGGATGTACATTGATAAAAAGTGTCGTGCCAGCACGCCGCCTTCTTATAGAGAACATCATGAGGACCAAGTAAGTGTCTTCATTATGGATCATCATCATCATCATCATCACAGCCCTTCACAAGTCCACTGCTGAACATAGGCCTCCCCAAGGAATGTCACAAAACACGGTCACCTGCATCCATCGACTTCCTGCATGTCTTACCAGGTCGTCACTCCGTCTAGTGGGGGGACGCCCTACACTTCGTCCGCCAGTACGAGGCCGCCACTCGAGAACCTTTTTTCCCCATCGGTTGTCGGTTCTTCGAGCTATATGGCCGGCCCATTACCACTTCAGCTTACTAATCCGTTGGACTATGTCGGTCACTCTGGTTCTACTGCGGCTATCCTCATTTCTAAGTTTATCACGCTAAGAAACTCCGAGTATAGCCCTTTCCATAGCTCGCTGAGCGATCTTGAGCTTCCTCATCCGGCCAGCAGTGGAGAACCACGTCTCAGTTACATAGATCATCACTGGAAACACGCACTGGTTGTACAGTCTCGTTTTCAAGTTTTGAGGTATACCTGACGAGAAGATGTCCGTAATTTCCCGAACGCTGCCCAACCGAGTTGAATCCGTCGATTGACCTCTCGGTCGAAGTTGGACTTACCTAGTCGGACCATTTGTCCCAGGTAAACATACTCGTCAACAACTTCGAGCTTAGTGCTCCCAACAACTACCACCTTCATTATGGATACGTATTCGAAATTAACCGTTTTAAAGGCGTTGCAGAAATTCAGAGAAGTGAATATAGCAACTTCCTGATACTCTTCGTCTCTTACTAAGAAGTGATATTCACGCCGTTGGGTATGCAAAATCAGCAAGTTACAAACGTCTGACTTCCAAACCGTCAACATTACAGTAAGAGTCCACTGCTGAGTATAGGCTACCCCATTGATTGCCTCATAGGCGAGATATTTGCTACGTTAGGCAAGCTCGCCGCACCCCATATCTTCGCGTGGGTGTCGTAAAAGGCGACAAAGGGAAACAGGCAGGAGATGGGCAGCAGCATCTTCCTGATAATAGCCAAAATAACAATAAAAAAACTGCGGTTGCCAACCCGCTCGCCAAGCGTGGCAACTATGGCAATATACCCCCCATGAGCAATGACAATAATAAAAGGCCCCCAGTCCCCGGCGGCCCCGCTATTCCTGGCTACGGTGGCGACCATGGTAACGGCGGGGCAGGGGGTGCTAAGAATCTCCGGTGGAGGTTCGGTTGCCACCTACGATGACTCGACCTGGCAACATACAACGCACGCACCCTGAGGACTGACGAGAAGATTGTGGAGCTGGAAGAAGAGATAGACAAGTTACGCTGGCATATTATAGGATTATCCGAAGTCCGAAGAGAGGGGGAGGACACGGTAATCCTCGAATCCGGCAACTTGCTCTATTACCGGGAGGGCGACCATCTGTCCCAAGGAGGTGTCGGATTTATCGTCCACAAGTCTCTCGTTAACAACGTTGTAAAGATTGAGAGTGTGTCGACGAGGGTTGCGTACCTTATACTCAGAATCACCAAACGGTATTCGCTGAAGGTCATACAGGTTTACGCACCAACCTCGGCACACCCCGATCAGGAGGTGGAGGAAATGTATGAGGATATCTCTAGAGCCATGCATTCCTCCAAAACCCAATATACGGTGTTAATGGGAGACTTCAATGCAAAACTAGGCACAAGAGAGAACGGTGAGCTGAAAGTAGGGAAATTTGGAATAGGGCAACGGAACCCAAGGGGCCAGCAGCTGGCCGACTTCATGGAGAAAGAGGGACTCTTTATGATGAACTCTTTCTTCCAGAAGCGGCCCCACAGGAAGTGGACCTGGTCGAGCCCCGACGGTTCGACAAAAAATGAGATTGACTTCATTATGACGACCAGACGACAACTGTTCAGTGATGTCTCAGTGATCGCGAGGGTGAAAACCGGCAGCGATCACCGAATGGTTAGAGGCACACTGAACCTAAACGTTAAGTTGGAGAAGTCTCGTCTAATGAAGTCAACGCTCCGTCCCCCTCGTGCTCTAATCCAAAGTCCCGAAACCTTTCAGCTCGAGTTACAAAACCGTTTTCAGTGCCTAGAAGACTGCAATGAAGTGGACGATTTGAATGACAAGCTCGTGGAAACTGTCCATGCGGTCGGAGCTAAGTTCTGCAAGACCCGCCGCAGAAGAACACAAAAACTCTCCGATCACACTCTTAATCTCATGGCTGTTAGACGGGAGATGAAGCTACATTCTTCAACAGATTTAACAGCTTACAGGCAACTAAACAGACAGATCTCCAAATGCATGCGGCGGGACTTACGCAAATTCAATACAGCTCGTATTGAAGAAGCGATCGAGCGGAACCGAGGCTCCAAAGTCTTTGCCAGAGATCTGTCTGCCAGAAAGCGCCAACTGTCAAAGCTGAAGACAGAATGTGGCAGCATCGTTTCCGGGGCACCTGAGATTTTGAGTGAGATTGAGAGGTTCTATGGGCAGCTGTACACGTCATCGTTGGAGCCGCACGCAAGTGTGAGTAACGATCCAAGAGCGAGTCTTATCCGACATTATTCCGATGATATCCCGGACGTCAGTCTGAGCGAGATTAGAATGGCTCTCCAGCACCTTAAAAACGGCAAGGCCCCAGGCGAGGATGGAATTACAGCGGAGCTTCTGAAAGCGGGTGGAAAACCGGTACTTGAAGTCCTTCAGAAGCTCTTTAATTCCGTCCTCCATGGTGGCATTACACCGGAGGCGTGGAGCAGAAGTGCGGTGGTCTTGTTCTTCAAGAAAGGCGACAACGCTCTCTTGAAGAACTACAGACCGATTTCCCTTCTGAGCCGCGTCTACGTGCTGTTTTCGAGAGTCATTACGAATCGTCTCGCGCGCAGACTTGACGACTTCCAGCCTCCCTAACAAGCCGGTTTCCGAAAAGGCTTTAGCACCATAGACCACATACATACCCTTCGGCAAATTGTACAGAAGTCCGAGGAGTACAATTTGCCACTATGTCTGGCGTATGTGGACTATGAGAAAGCCTTTGATTCCGTCGAAATTTGGGCGGTGCTGCAGTCCCTTCAGCGATGCCAAGTTGACTGTCGGTATATCGAAGTGTTGAAGTGCTTGTACAGTAGGGCTACGATGGCTATCCGAGTACAGAACCAGAGTACGAAACCTATCCAATTGCAGAGAGGTGTAAGACAGGGTGACGTCATATCCCCGAAACTCTTTACCGCTGCATTGGAAGATGTTTTCAAACTTCTGGACTGGAAAGGATACGGTATCAACATCAATGGCGAGTACATCACTCACCTTCGATTTGCCGACGATATAGTCCTTATGGCAGAATCGCTGGAGGACCTAAGCACTATGCTCAATGACCTCAATAGTGTTTCCCAACGGATAGGTCTTAAGATGAACATGGACAAAACAAAGATCATGTTTAATGTCCATGTCACACCTATGCCGGTAGTTGTTGGGAACACTAAGCTCGAAGTTGTTGACGAGTATGTTTACCTGGGACAAATAGTCCGACTAGGTAAGTCCAACTTCGACCGAGAGGTCAATCGACGGATTCAACTCGGTTGGGC